ATGGTGTACGAGATATTTATTGCTTTCAAATATTTACTAGGTGTTTTCATATTTAGATATATTGAAGGAAATACTGAATGTCCTGAACAATTAATTCTATAATCAGTAAACTAATTGCATTGTATAGTAAAAAGTTCAAAAATAATAACCTGCAAATCCGGCTATTATTAATCCAAAGCTCAGAGGTAAAGTATTCAAATCAGTAGGCCATAATTCAGTTTTCATAGGATTAAATAAACTTCCAGGTTGTTCATCTATTGTAAATCCATTAATTATTACTACGAATGTTAAAAATATTGCTGATAATATTCCAAGTAATGAAAAATATGAGAGATATTTAATATCAACTAATGTTAATGGTACCAATATCACCCAAGCAATAATTTTTAGAAATACAAGGGATATATCAGGAAATAATATTTGTAAAGAGTCACCGATAAGGATTACCAAAGAAATTGCTATTGCAATTAACTCTAATGAAAATAAAATTAATATAGCAATTGTCCCAAATTTCCCAAAGGCTATCGCAGCTATTATGTATTGTATATTTTATTCATAAAAATTAAACATTTTCAAACGTCGGGGCTTAAAGAAAAAAATTATTATGAAATACCTATGTCAGGATATGTATAAATTCCTTCTGTATAATTTAAACATTTTACCAATAACTTTGCAGCGTAATTTGTAGCTCCCATACAGAAAAATAATAATGATAACCCAATAACCCATCCTGTATATTTCAATGCAAGAGGTAATGAAAGGATTCCGACGCCTAAAATATGCATTAAAATATAATGTTAATTTTACGTAATAATTGAAAATAGTTATAAATCAGTAAGCTGAGACAAGAGTCACTGATTCAATATATTACCCATCAAAACATTGCAAAAATTAAATATTGATTGCCCAAGGGTAGATTTAGTTTTTGGAAGCTTATCTTCTTGGATTTCGATATCAGACATTACAAAATATATAGGGTATAAGTAATCTAATAAGGTTTATTAAAAAACTTTTCTATATGCTAAGATTTTGCAAGAAAAAACATCACCTTAATATTAAAATTTTATTCACCTTCCCATTTTAAACAATTTAATTGGTCGAGTGATGCCAAGAAAAACCAGTTTTGTGTTTTAAGCTTATAAATATACTTGCCGGAAAAACACAAAACAATTACCATTTATAACTTTAAATAAAAAGTAATCTTGATATTTCTGCAAATAATTTTATATATAACTGTGAATATTAATCTTTGGTGACGTTTTGGGTTCATCTTCATGAATATAATTATAGGAATATAAATGGTCCATAATTACTTAGTAGGTTATCATCATTTTCAGATGTGGATCCTTCTTCATTAGCACCATTCGATATCATTTGTTTAAACCAAGTATTATGGAAACATTAGTTTAGCCAGAGTTTTGGATTTGTGCGTGGACAAATCCAAACCATGGTAGTTTATATTTAGTGATAAGTCATAATTTTAAAAGCCAGAAGCCTGGTTTTCCCTTGGCGTCGTCACTCATATAATCATTGATCCTCACAAAATATATATGGCATCTATTTTAGGCATTGCATATTATTGTTAGACAAAATCTAAAGTTTTATTCTGACAAATGATAGAAGCTATGTTTCAACCTTTGTCAAATGAAATTTAAATTAACAAAAATGTGATAAAACTAATAAACAAATAATTCATTATTATTTAACTTAATACGCCCGTAGAAATATTAAAATTATTTAGTTTACTCAAATAATAAACATTATCATCACATAATAAACCTGTTTAATTACCTCAGCCATGCAATGCTAACTAAATTGGAAAATATTATTGTTGGTGTTTTTGAGAGAGAAACTAAAAGACAGCTTTCATGTACTTCTCTTAATAATTCGATGAAGAATCTGATTGGTCAGTTGGATCAGAGAGACTCCGTGGAGTCCAGTAAGTGAAATGCTTGAGAATGTCCTAAGCTTCAGGCTTTTAAATTTATAAACAATAGACTCAGCCTCTAAAAATATCAATGGAATATTTATCGTTATGTAGTTTTAATCCTATGCCGCACATAATTGTTAAAATTTCCACGTGATCATAAATACACAATCTCTGGTTGAATACGGATACTTTCAAAGTATCTTCTCTGTGTAAAAAAAAAAAAACCTGGAAGACTTATCAATTCGAAAATTGCTAAACACTTAAGTGTTCGCAGATCTTATATAAGTTGGGTTCTCTAGTACTTTAAAGATATTGATGTATTGAAAAACTTCAGTTGTTAGGAACGCCTGTTTTTTTGATAAATATTAATAAAATCTTGATTTTCTGAAATCTCAACTTGTTACATTTTTAAACCAGTCAACTAATTCTTGATTTAGCTTTTTTGTTAAACCTATAAGCCCAACACAGAGATTTTAAAATTATTAGTGTGCAAGGAACTGCAGGAATGCAATTAACTTCTATTATTACTGGTAAAATGCAAGAGTGTAAATTGATTCATGAAAATATAGAAGCTCCGATCAAGATACTGTATTTAAAATGACTATCATCCACATAATAAGTTTTTTAAAGACATCGTAGTAGAGTTAATACTTCTTCAATCCGGATATAAATATATCCGGATTGATATTTTGTTAAAATTTATAGTAAAACA